TATGCTGAAGCCGACCGATAGGGGAGCAGAGTGACAGATAAACTTATTGTGCTGCTTCTTCACTGTCCAGTCACAGGCCGGGTCCAGGGTAACCTGAGGAAGTTGAATGCTGGCCATCAGAAAGAGGACATGTAGAGGCATAAAACACACTCACCCAAACCGTGACCCCGGCTTTCTCCTAGACCAGGTCCCTTCAGCGTCGCTAACCCTCTGCCCCTCCAATGGAGTCCTCACCTACACTGTATAGAATGTGATGACTCGCAGGACATTAAACCGCTGGAACGGAGGTGGTGCAAGGCTGAAGGGACCGGTCTAGAAGCCTGCTGGGATCGTGGTTCAGGCGAGTACCTGTTCATAAAGCTCTCTAGGCAGAACAAGCACTTAAAGGAGCCGACCTGTGACAATTAAACTGTCACAGGTCGACTCAATAGATCGGGAAGTGAGCGAACACATACCAGCGTTCGCTCACTTCTCAATCCTGTCCCGGCTCTCTGCCGTGACAGGGGGAGGGACTGGATTCCCCCCTCCCCGCTTCGATCCTCCAACGCTGACTGGCGGAACGGACAGGGGAGGGGGCGGGTACAGCTGGCTCTGACTCTGGATAGGCAGAGCCAGCTGTCACTCACGCAGCTGGGCGCATCCAGACATATTTGTCGGGATCCGCTTCAGCTGCAGCATCTCAGTATACCGCGAGCAGCAGGTATACTGAGCTTAGGGTGACGGGAGGACGCTAGTTTGTGTCCTCCGTTACCCTAAGGAGAACTATGGGGAAAAGCCCTGACCCCATAGTTCTCCTTTAACCCTTGCAATGCGGGGGTAGCCCACTGAAAGGGTTGAGTTAGTTTGGGGAGTTAGTAAGTTGAAGCTACTCCCCTTCAATGGCTTCCCTTTACTCAAAACTGGCCAGCAGTCCCCCATCAGAGGCTTCTCACACATTCCCTTTAAATGGTCAAGATAGTCACTACAATCCTCAGTGTAACTGCATGCTTCTATCTAGGTTCTAAAAAAAAGTACTACTCATCTGATCTTCCGAGCTGGCTGTGACAGCGCGCGCTCCTGCCTGTTTGCTACGCTCCAATGATGTCATGTCCCTCAGCCTCCTCATACACCGCGTATAGATCGCGATGACTCGGACCTTAGACTGCTGCAGCGCAGGGGGAGAGGGGCAGAAGGGACCAGTCTTAGAGCAAGCCGGCTCCAAAGATCAGGTGAGTAACTTTTCAACCTAGCGAAAGCCAGCAGTTCACCCTTGCAGTGCAGAGGTAACCCCACTGCAAGGACTAATCAATTTGTGCCCCGGAGTTCCGCTTTAAGGTAAAAGATTGCAACCCCAAGCTCTTCAGGGCAGTGCCGCCTTCCTCCTCTGATCTCTATAAAAATACACCTGCGAGTTCTCTAACCCACACAAAGCCTTTTCACTTCCCCGTTCTGTATTCTCTGTGAACGTGCCTACACAGAGGATTTTTACAGTGCAGGAAGGACAATCCCTGGGGAATAAAGAACAGGTAGAGCACGCAGTTCTGCCACAAAATGTGATTTTTTTTTTTACCTCTTTGCATTCCGCCGGGCCTATACTATAAATAGTGGCAGTGAAGATCTGCGGCGGCAGGCACGTCCCCGGTTTTATAGCAGGTGCTGCCAAAGCTCACCTGCAGAAACAGCACACATCCTGCACGCCAGCCAAGAAAGCCGCGTCAAAGCCGTTCAGCTCACGGACACTGCTTCTACCATGGATTAGAACCGGTTCAAGCCGTGACGTCACCAGGAAAGATCTGCCTGGCACTTATCAAGAGGGACGAGGAGAATTAGAACTCGACCGAAGGGACGGTTTCTACCTTGACCCAAACCCCTTTCCAAACCCCCCCCCATGTCATATAGGTACAAAGCATTTAACTGGCCAAAAGAAATCACAAATATACACAACAGTCATCCACACCGCTGAAGTAAAATGGAAATTGGTACACTTGTGTTGAACCCAGGACAACACCACAAGTCCTTAGGGGGTTATGTTTGCTCATAGAAGAAAATTAAGTAAATGTTAGCAAAGTTAAATCAACAAGAAATCAGGGTCAGCCGGAAAAAGGGCTGAATTGTTCAGGTTCTGCCCACCGGTCGTGCGACTAGATGGTTTTGCCCACCGGCCGTGCGACTAGATGGTTTTGCCCACTGGCCGTGTGACTAGATGGTTTTGCCCACCGGTCGTGCGACCATCTAAATGGTATTTCTAAGCAGCCGGCTACCCAAATGGTCGTGCGACTAGAGGGCTTCGCACACCGCTCGTGCGACTAGAGGGCTTCGCACACCGCTCGTGCGACTAGAGGGCTTCGCACACCGCTCGTGCGACTACTAGAGGGCTTTCGCAAAACGCTTGTGCGACTAGAGGGCTTCGCACACCGCTCGTGCGACTAGAGGGATTTCGCACATCGCTCGTGCGACTAGAGGGCTTCGCACACCGCCCGTGCGACTAGAGGGCTTCGCACACCGCCCGTGCGACTAGAGGGCTTTTGCACACCGCTCCCATCGGATGGTATTTCTCAGCAGGCGGCTACCCAGCTATTCATTTGCCTATCTGATGGTCCTGTACACTGCATATGCGACTAGATTGTTTTGCACACTGGTCAGGTGACTAGATGGTTGTGGACACTGGTCATGTGACTATCTGATTAGGTATTCATCAGCAGGTGGTTACCCATCTCTTACTGACACCTTATCTGACCCTTAGGCTACCCAACTCAGGCAGTCAGACCTAAACCATGAAACTCAACACTACACATTACCCTCTGAAACAGAGGTAGGCAACCTCGGCCCTCCAGCTGTCGTGGAACTACAGGCCCCCGATGAGGCATTGCGAGACCGACAGCCAGGACTCCCAGAGACCATATGGGATTTGTAGTTTCACCACAGCTGGAGGGCCGAGGTCGCCTACCCCCTGCTCTAAAACCTAACCCCAAGCCAAAATACCAACTTAACACTTTCAAACCAATGGTCAACACTAAAAGGCTTCCTACCCAGGCATCAAACACAGCAGCATCTAGGTACTGGCATCAAAACAGACCTATATCTGCATCGTATGATAAATGAGCGCAAGCAATACGCACTTCCCGCACCTTAAACCATCTGATATTTTTTTGGGCAGCGAGGTCTGTGTATTTTGCAAATTATTTACACAAAGCTCTGTAAGAGCAAGGAGCAGCCGAGCACCACTCGTCTCTGTGGGTCACCCCCTGTAGCTTGTAAAGTTCAGCTTAAGGCGCCCTTTGCACTTTGGTAGTGATTTGTGCCTACGGGTGTTAAAGCCTAGTGCGGGGCCCCGTAGTATGGAGAACCCGTGACAATTCGGCGGGAGCGCCCGATCGCCCAGGAGATTAACCCTTCCTGCAGCAGAGAGGGGGAGCCCAAAGTATTATATAAATAGACAGGTTGGACAACTTTCTAGGCTCATGTTAGCAGCATGTCCCCGATTCTAAATTTAGCTTTCCCAATTGCACCGAAATACACACACGCACACGCCTAAATTATGTAACCAGTGTAAACACACCGAGCTCGTGAATCCCGCAGACCAATACGAGGCAGCTTCTGGACAAATACACCAAGGGATGGTCCCCGTTTGCACAGGAGGGCACCTTGCTCAAAGAAGGGCCTACAGGTGTCGTGCTGGGGACGAGCACCCGAGGTAGGTAGGGGGTAAGATACAGACTGATGGAATACACTTCTGTTCCTAAGCAGGTGCCCCCAGCATCTTCCATCTCCACCACCCTAAGCAGGTGCCCCCAGTATCTTCCATCTCCACCACTATAAGAAGGTGCCCCCAGCATCTTCCATCTCCACCTAAGCAGGTGCCCCCAGTATCTTCCATCTCCACCACCCTAAGCAGGTTCCCCCAGTATCTTCCATCTCCACCACTATAAGAAGGTGCCCCCAGCATCTTCCATCTCCACCACCCTAAGCAGGTTCCCCTAGTATCGTGCATCTCCACCACTATAAGAAGGTGCTCCCAGCATCTTCCATCTCCACCACCCTAAGCAGGTTCCCCTAGTATCGTCCATCTCCACCACTATAAGAAGGTGCCCCCAGCATCTTCCATCTCCACCACACTAAGCAGGTGCCCCCAGCATCTTCCATCTCCACCATTATAAGAAGGTGCCCCCAGCATCTTCCATCTCCACCACCCTAAGCAGGTTCCCCCAGCATCTTCCATCTCCACCACCCTAAGCAGGTTCCCCCAGCATCTTCCATCTCCACCACCCTAAACAGGTGCCCCCAGCATCTTCCATCTCCACCACCCTAAGCAGGTTCTTCCAGTATCTTCCATCACCACCCTCGGGAGGTGGCCCCAGTTGGCCCGTTATACCCACAACCATCATTGTGCCCCTGCATCTGCTTTTCCCTCAAATTTCCTTAGAATCCTTCACAGAAGATGCCCCCTATACCCACTTCTGGCTCCGCTATCTGCCTACTTTGCTCTAGTGTGCCTCCTGTACCCTCATTGCTGTACCCCAACAGATGCCCCCCCATGGCATCCTACTTACACCCTTCGCTACAACCCACACCGTCCCCCGTCCCACCAGGTGCCCTTCACCTCACCCTCATGTACCTAGATTACACTGGCAGGTGCCACACCTATCCTGGTGCTAGCAGGTGCCCCTCAACATTCCAGCAGGTGCCCTTGCCCTTCAGGTGCCCACGGGACCCCCTCAGCTCTGGTTCTCATTGGCTGACACCAGTGCCATCGGCCCCTTCCTCTAGGGTACCCCCTGTACCCGTCACCAAGTGCCCCCTGTGCCATTCCTCTGCCACCCCTTTACGTGCCCCCCTGAACCCTCCCCTTAGTGTCCACCCTCCTCCACGCCAGCAGGTGCCCCTCGTACCCTCCCGTCCCGCAGATGACACCTGTACCCCTCTCAAATCTACCCCTCATGTGCCCACAGTACTCCGCTCCCCAGGTGCCCCTTGTAACCACCTCCCCCCGCAGGTGTCCCCTGTACACCTCCCCTCCGTACCTTGCTCTTCACCTCCACCGTGCTCAGGGACATGCTGCTGGTGCCCGGCGCCCGGTGAGTCCGGTTCATGTTGCCCGCTGCTATCTCCGCTCTCCTCTGTACCGTCTCCTCAGTGACACGGAGCCCGGGCCGCCTGCGTCACCGCCCCTCCTCCCCTTCACCACTCCTCCCGTCCAGCCGGCGCGTGCACCTGAGCTCTGGAGCGCGCAGGTATTCCCGCCCCCTCCACCTGGAGAGTGAGGGGAGCGCCGCTTACGTCATGACGTCCACGGGCGGCCGCCATGGCAACAACAACAAATGTATGTCAGCGGGAGGAGCCTCGGGGTGAGCTCAGCTGGGAGTGTGTGAGACTAACTTACTGAGGGTGGCCGGCGGCGGATACGGAGTGTAATCCATTGGTACAAAGAGGAGAATCTAGGGGGGCAGCGAGTTAGGGAGACACATGGGGGCGCCGAGTAGGGGGACACCCAGTAGGGGGACACTGAGGAGAACCTAGGGGTACACACTGAGGAGGACACTGAGGGGGCACCGAGTAGGGGGGACACTGAGGGGGCACCGAGTAGGGGGGACACTGAGGGGGCACCGAGTAGGGGGGGCATTGAGAGTCTTGAGGGACACCCAGGGGGGCACACTGAGAAGAGTCGAGGGGGACAGAGCCTGGGGGCCCCGCTACTGAAACGAGAGACAAGGAGACTCTAGGGGGACACTGAGGACCCACTGATGGTAGTCTAGGGGTACACTAAAAAGCCTGAGGCTACACCAAGGAGGCGGTGCTATACATCCACACCAAGTGTCACATGACCACACCTGCTGTGCTATGCTCATTTTCTGGCTGCCTAACCTCAGCACATTCCGAGATGACCTTTTACAAATATAAAATCTTCTAATCTGCACACTAATTCTAGGTCAGGGACTGAGGCAGCACTGAAGCTTCTGGATCAGCATGACATCCAGGAAACTAGCATTTCCAGAAACAGGAGTCTGCAATGGCAGCCTCTGTACATCCTCCGCTCAGGGGCGACCCTTCCAATAAAGACTACAATGCCAACACATTACATAGGCATGCTCACTGTTGTCACCATCAAGGAAATCTGTCTTGAGAAATGCCATGCAGCCATCACTGGAGTCATGTGGACAGGAAGTGGCTGCGGGAGATCAGAACAGAGGATGGAAAGGTGAAAACTTGTATTTGTAAACATGGCAATTGTTTATTACACACGCAGAGCACAGAGGAAACAAAGTAACCAGAAACATTGACAAGTGCAAACCATGACAGGGACACAACTGATCGATGATAGAAATATACACAGATACATGCAGAGGAGGAGCAGTAACATAGTAACCAGGTCATTGCAAGTTGCAATAGTCGGCGGGGGGGGGGGGGGGGGGGGAGCCGGCAA